AATACCCCTGAAGACACGGGGGGTGAAGTTCTTAATACGACAAAAGGGTCATCCATAGCACTTGATGTTTGACTTGAACTGCCGGACGGTTTTGAAGGTTGGTGATTACTAAACCCAGTAGATGGCCTGTGAAATTGAAAAGACAGCTGTTCCTTAACTAATTTGAGATTGAAACTATGGCGTACCAAAAAACAGAGTAAGATGTAAGGTGTAGAAACATTTGTTAAGAAAAACTGGGTCAAGCTTTCCAACAAAGTTTGACTTGATGTCTTGATCCACTAGTTTTGGCATTTTAGGAAGCCAAAATATGTGGTTCCGGTATGTCACCCCGTATTTCACTGAAGATAAAACACTCCAAATTTGTGTTAGGGCCAGTTTAGGACAGTTCAGAAAGTACAGAAAACTGTGAAAAGCCCCTTCCAGCAAAAACTTGATACTTCTTAAAGCAACTTGGATAAGCAACTGTGGAAAGTGTCAAAATTGTGAGAGACTTAACAAGTAAATCTCTTTTCTTTTCCTCTGTAAATCACACCCAGATATAAGTTGTTGAGGACAACATACCCTGCCTTCTGCAATCTGCAGATATGGCAGTTCAACTTTACCATTGTCACGCCATTGAAATGGCCATGACTTCAGTTTTACTTGATCCAAATACAGCTTCTACTACATGATCACCAGCAGTCCCTCTATAGAGCAGTGAGCCAATCCGTAAATATAAAAAACACTATTGTTTGTAATCTTTACATACGGTCATCAAATTCAACTAATAATTGCATCACATGCTACATTGACAGAGACAAAGTAACTAGAGAAAGATATCCAGTTTACCTCTTCGTAGTTGCTGGACTTGCACTCGTAAAATCAGCTAGCAAATCATCAAATGCACTCAAACTTGAATTCTTACTGCTCAGCAGTTCCGCCACCTTCTCGCCTCTATCCAAATTTTCTAGCAGATCATCAAGCTGTTCGCTACTGTAATTCTTCTTTGGGGGTGAAGGTATTGAGGCAAACACATCATCATCAAATCTAGCTGATGATGAAACCGGCTTGCTCTTCAGTCCGGGCAATCCATCAAAAATATCATCATCGTAGACAGGCTTGTCATACACAGGCACAGAAGACATCATGCTGCTGCTTTCATTATTGTTCTTCTGGTCATTGCTGGGCTTGAAAATTGAATCGTAATCCAAATCATTTGTTGCCGATGCGCTCTTATTGCTATTGTTAGTGGAGGTCGTGTATTTAGGCGGACCACCAAAAACGTCGTTGAACAGCATTCCATCTCGATCGTCTACCAATGGCGAGGACGAGGATGACCGGACGGAACTTGACCGGCGATCCCCATGTCCGGATCTCATGGGAGCCGATTTTCCGCCAGGTCGTATTCCAAAGTCTCTGGCCAACACATCCAGGTCGTCCATTTCGTAGGCAGGCAGCTGCGGCACGGTTCAGGTCGTAGCAGATCTGAGAACCCAAAACTGCCTTGTATGTAGGGCAATGGCAGCTGCTACGAATCCAGAACTCAAACCGGCGTCAATGCCAAAATTGACCGATTAGATTGTTCCGAGCAGATAAATTTCTTGTGCGTAAATTATTGTAGAATTGATACATGGAATTTCTCAGGTGTTATAGAGAGAAGACAAGCGTTGAATAGAGTTTGAATCCGATCGCTTCACTTTATCTTCTTTCGTGCTTCCACGGTTCCACCTCCGTCGTCGTTCTCTCTATGTCTCTGCCTGGTCGCGGTCCGCTGTTTTTTCTGTTTTAACACATTTGATTCGATGAAATCGTGAAATTGACGCCGAAGGGGCGTCTCTTCTTCCAAAGCTCGTTTTCTGCCCCTGCATTTAATTTGTTGTTTTATTTCTGTCTTGTATCTCGTTTTTTTTTAACTTAATAGAGTGATTTTTATGTTAAGGGAAACTAGTATCGTACCCGTGCGTTGCACGGTGCATGAGTCTCGGGGTGGTTTATGACATCATCAAACATAAAATTAAATTGGTTATAAAGCCAAACATCATCCATCACGCAATGCTTTAGCAAAAGTGTAAAAGTGTGAGATTGTTGCAATGTGTTATGTGATTATCATACAATCTGAATCATTACAAATTATGGAACACTTCTTTGTAGACAACGTTCATCGTCTCATTCTTCACGCAACCATCTTCATTAAGAATGAGAATTTTAAGACCGACACGATTGGTTACTCTTGACACAGCAACATATAGTTGTCCGTGACTGAAAACTGGTTTTTTCAATAGGAGACCAACGTGACTGAGCGATTGACCTTGACTTTTATTGATGGTCATTGCATAAGAAACCATAATCGGAAATTGTCTCCTTTGAAACCTAAATGGCAGCCTAGCATCGGATGGGGTTAAGGATAGTCGAGGTATTAAAACTTTCTGTCCTGCGCTCGTCCCATTAAGAACCCTCCCCTCTAAGATGTGATCACACATCCTTGTTATTATGAGCCTTGTCCCGTTACAGAGCCCCAATGAGTGATCAATATTACGCAGAAGCATGACTGGAGTACCAATCTTCAAAGTTAACTTGTGGTTTGGCACTCCAGAGATTTTAATACTGTTGGGTTAAGGGCCCAAGCCGAGGCCCGGCCCATTAACTCCAGTGGACCAGACGCACGTCTAGTGAAAGGACAACGCTGGCCCGCAGGCCCATGGTTCTTAAGAGAAGGACGAACGTCCGGAGTTTGGGGGTTCAGGCCCAATGTCTCCCCGACGACGAACGTCTATACTAAGACAATGAGCAGGACTACGGGCCGCCGGGGATGACGACGAACGTCTCCAGAGCAAGCCTGTGGTCATCAGGGGGAATCCAGTCCAAGGCCAGAAGACGTACGGCTGGTATCTCTTGGTGATCACCTGGGGCGACCCACCCCACCCTCCGGACGGACGAACGTCCCCACTAATTGGGCGGGAAACCTAGATTCTGGCGGGAAGCGCATTTAATGCTGAAGATTTGGTAGTTGGGGCACCAGCGGTCCACAGACTGCCACGTCAACAGGGCCACCTGCCCATTGGCGGGTATAAATAGAAGCATTTATTTCATTGTAAAGGGTTGGCAACTTTCTATTCTTAGCACCCTAGCTATAGCATTCTTACTCGCAGCACTTCTACTGCCTTGTAAGACGAACGGCCGACGTGCCTTTTTTAGCAAGTAGATTGTACTTAGGGGAGTTATTACGAAGTTAATAATACCTACTTACATTGCCTGCTATTCCTCTTGTTTCCTGATCCATCTGAAGGTTGTTGGGCTAGGTATCCATACACTCACTCCACTCGAAATCTTTGGGCTTACGTGTTGGGTCTGAAGGTTGAAGGAATAAACCTCAACACTGGCGCCGTCTGTGGGAAACTGAGCAAAAAGTTTCCAGAAACTCTCCCAAACAGCTACTAAATCTACCTACAGCCAACGCGATGTCAGGAAGCAACAACCAGCGTGATCTCTCCGAACGCCTGGAATCAAGCCGCCGGAATCGCGGCCAGAACTCGGAACTATCCACAACAATATGGACCTCTGGAGGAAACGGGGGTATCACTGACCTCATTCCCCTGGAGGCCAGACAGGATCCCCGCCTCATGCGGGAACTCGCAGACACCATGCGTCGCTTGGCGGACGAGCGGGAGGCCCGAGATCAGGTGTACTCTGCAAGCACCCAGCGAACACCCCCCTCTCCCATACGCCGCATGCAGTCGTATGATGATACGACAGGATCCAGCGACCACCGGCCCTCTGTCCACGAGCGGCTAGGTGGGGGTTCAGGCTCCCGTGAAACGGGAGGGCGGACCAGGGTCAGCATCGCTGCATCCAGAGCTCTTACGCCATCGGTTCCTCGCCAGATCCCGCGGGGAGACGAAACCCCAAGGTTCAACGCCGTTGGACGACGTTTCCAACGGCGAGGTGCGCAGATCTTCAGGCGGCCGCACGATGCTGTGGCCGCTCAGCAAAATGCCGTCCCCGAGACCGCGCCCCCTGTGTCCCCCGGAAGGGCCGCACAGGATGCAAGGTTGGAGGCCATGGAAAGGCAGATAGCCGAGATGAATAGGCGGGCGGACGTTGGCTCGGCCACACCCTCTTTCTCTCTCACATCTCCCTTTACTCCACGGGTGATGAGCGTCGAGATTCCCCGGGATTGCAGACCCCCGGGAAACTTGGTGTACAATGGGGCCGGCGACCCAAAAGCCCATCTAATAAGCTACCAAGGGAACCTGTCCATGCTGGGAGCATCGGACGAGGCCATCTGCAGATTGTTCTTCGGCACCCTCAGGGGGCCAGCGCAAGAATGGTTCGGCCAGTTGAGGCCGGGCACCATCGACTCATATGAACAACTCTCCCGGCAGTTCATGGCACAATTTGCCGCCAGTACCACCCCCAGGAAGGACGTCACGGCTCTCGCCCACATCAAACAAGGGCGGGACGAACCGCTGGCTAGGTTCCTGGTGAGGTGGAGGGACGAGGTCCTGCAGGTCGACGATCTGGACGAACGTCTGGCCACCAACATGTTCACCAGTGCGCTGGCCACAGGGGATCTATACCGGGACCTAAGGAGGAATCCCGGCACCAGCTACACCGAAGTTCTGGCTCGGGCCCAGAAGTATGCCTCCATTGAGGAGGAGATCAGGCAGCGGGACGGGGTTCCCGCGGCCCAGCCGAGGAAAATGGCGGACAGACTCGGACCCCGACCGGGATCCGGGCCCTCACCCCCAAGCAAAAAGAAGAGGGTGGACGGAGCGATGATCCCTTGGAAGGCTCCGTCCGAAGACAGCCAAACGCGGTCGGACGACCGCTATGTTCCGCTGGCCTACCCGGTGAGCCAAATCTTTGAGGCCATCAAAGATAAGGGCCTCCTTACGGAACCCCAGGATATGAAGAAGTATATGGGGCTCGACCAGTCTGCCTACTGCGAGTACCACCAGAGGACCGGCCACCTGACGGACAATTGCAGCCAACTGAAGAAGGCAATCGACGAGTTGATCCGTCAGGGGTACTTGGGCGAATTCACCCAGCTGCTGAACAAAAACAGTCAGCAGAAGCCGAACCCAAGGCACAAGACATGGCGCCGCGACGATCGGCGCGAGGCAGAACCTCAGGACGTGGATTATCGAAGTGCAGATAAACGTCCGGAGGGATCCCTCGGCCCTAAGGGCAAGAAGAAAAAGTTGGAGATCAAAGTGATCTTCGGGGGCGCTGAGACTGGGGATACACCCGCCGAGCGGAAAAAATTTGAGAGATCACTCTATGTGGGTTCCGTATCAGCACCCCCCACCAAACGCAATAAAATCGAGGCAATTACCTTCGGCCCCGCTGACCTGCCAATGTCACCGGCGCCGCACAGAGACGAGCTGGTGATCAGCATGGACGTAAACGATGCCATCGTACGCCGCGTCCTTGTTGATACCGGGAGCAGTGTGAACGTCCTCTACTGGGAGGCTTTCGAGGGAATGAAGCTCAGGAAGGACATGCTGCACCCTCTGCGTACCCCGCTGTCCGGCTTCACCGGGGATTGCATTGACGCTGAGGGCACCATCACCTTGCCAGTAGAAATCGGCGACGGCCCTCACACTGCCCGGATCAGCATGACGTTCGTCGTGGTCCGCCTAAAATGCGCCCACAACGCCATTTTGGGCCGACCCGGCTTGGAAGACTTGGGGGCCATATGCTCCGTACGACATTCATGCATCAAATTCCCCACCGACACTGGAGTGGGGGTGGCACGTACGGACCCACATATGGCCAGGGCCTGCTACACGAAGGCCATGGAGAAGCTCAACGAGCGGGAGGCTCGGGTCAACAGCATCTCCGAGAGGGCCAAACAGGCCGACTTGGACGCTCATCTGGAACCAGCAACCCTGCTGGAGGAAATCGAGCTCGACGACCCGACGGACAGGAAGGTGTCCATCGGTGCAGATCTAGAGCCAGAGATCAGGGCGGGGGTCATAGCTGTCCTCCGAAGGTTCAGGGTCTTATTCGCCAGAGGGCCGGAGGACATGCCGGGCATCGACCCCAACCTCATATGCCATAGACTCGCCGTGCGGCCGGACGCCAAGCCTGTACAGCAAAAGAAAAGGTATATGGCGGCCGACCGACGCGATTTCATCAGGAAGGAGACGGCAACTCTCCTCAGCATTAAACACATTCGGCCGGTCATCCACGTGGAGTGGCTGGCCAACGTGGTACTAGCCCCGAAGGGCGACACTTGGCGGATGTGCGTCGATTACTCGGACCTGAACAAAGCCTGTCCGATGGACCCTTACCCTGTTCCGAGGATCGACTTGCTGGTGGATGAGACGGCAGGCTGCGAGCTGCTCAGCTTCATGGACGCGTTCAGGGGTTACCATCAGGTGTTCATGCACCCCGATGATGCCGAAAAAACGGCGTTCGTCACGGCGGACGGCGTGTATTGCTACATCGTCATGCCGTTCGGCCTGAGGAACGCCATGGCTACTTTTCAGAGGATGATCGGGATGTTGTTCAAAGACGTACTTGGGAAGACAATGGAAGCTTACGTGGATGACATCCTAATCAAGAGCAAGAGAAAGGAGGACCATGTCCAGGACATGGAGAGGGTCTTTGGCATCATGGAGAGGGCCAGCATGAGGCTCAACCCGAAGAAATGTGCCTTCGCCGTCAGGGGCGGCAAGTTCCTCGGCTACATGATGAGCGGGCGGGGAATCGAGCCTAACCCGGAGAAGGTGAAGGCAATTATGGACATGGAGGCCCCGAAGAACCTAAAAGATGTGCAACGCCTCACCGGGCGTCTGGCGGCCCTGAGCAGATTCCTGTCCAAGCTGGCTGACAAGGCGATTCCTTTTTTCCAGATCATGAAGAAGGCCAATCCCTTTGAATGGACCCCGGAGTGTCAGGCTGCTTTCGAGGATTTCAAGGTATATCTCTCCTCCCCGCTCGTCCTTGAAAGACACGAAAAGCACCTAAGAGGGGGGTGAATTAGGTGTTTTAAAAAATTGTGCTTAAGATAAAAAGGCAGCGGAAACAAGAAATTAAAGTTAGATAAACAAACTGTGTGAGTGTCAAAAGAATGCAAAGTAGTGTGTGTGTGTGTGTGTTTAAACAAGAAAGCAATTAACAAGTAAGACACAATGATTTATAGAGGTTCGGCTAATCCTACTCCTCTACCTAAGGGCACCTCCCTTAGGATTTCCAAATCCACTAAAAATGGTCTCCCTTGAATACAAGAAGAGCACCACCTAAAGTTTTGGCAAACAAACCCTTGCCAATGAGTATGAGTTTTACAACGGGCTCACTCACAACCTACTTGGTTTTCAAGAGGAATAACCAAAAACCTCAAAGTAGTTTTCAAGAGGCACAACCACACAACCTCAACTATGTTGGTTTTACAAAGGGCTAACCAACAACCTAAGACTGGTTTTAGGAAAACCAAACAAAACCTTACAAGTTGGAGAATATAAATACAAGTAGAGAATACGATCTCAAACTCTCAAGCAGAAAATAAAGATTGATGCTTGACGTAGAGTTGAGATTTACAAAGCAACACACTCAAGGATATAAAGTTTGATCAAGAACAAGTGTGATTGCAAATATCAATTAGCTCTCTAAAAAAAATTGGATTTATCAAGAGTAAAAAATATGAATTTGAGGATCTTAAAACCAATGTAAGTTTCTGCAAATAAATATTAAAGTTATAGCACAAGCAGAATTCAAGACAGAGAGATTAAGAAAAGCTTCAGAGACGAAGTGAACTTTTTTCCGCAGGATATTCAAGGTGTAGATAGTATTTCGTCAGGAATTCTTCGTGTTTTAATCAGTGTAGAAGACTGAGTATATATAGGAAAATATTTGGTCGTTGAAGATTTGAAATCAAAGCTTTGAAAGGAAAGAATCGCTAAATTATTGGCTTCAACGGTTATAATATCAATTATTGATATTTGATTGATTTCCTTATTTGGAAGATAGTGCCAACGGCTAGAATGATTAAGAAGGAGTTCCAATGTTCAGAAAAGGATCTAAGTCAACCAAAATAGATTATTTTTCTTTTCAAGACGACAAAAGGTAATTTTGTCTTTACGGGAAAAGTCAACGGAAGAATAGTGCTGAACTTAGGAATTAATTTGGATTGAAGTCTAGGCAGATTTCTAAGATTAGAGTGGTAGACTACTAGGGAAGTAACCTTAAGGAAGGAGCAGGCAGCTCAGGACAACTGGCTAGGAGCAGCAGCCTCAGCAGCTGACTTAAGCAGCAGGCTAGAGCAGCGGGCTCAGCAGGAGGCTGCTGCCGAGCAGCGGGCTGAGCAGCGGGCTGCTGCCGAGCAGCGGGCTGAGCAGCGGGCTGCCGGAAAAACCAACCAAAAAACCAAACTCTAGGGAACTTTAACCACGATTCAAACACAAATTTAAGAGGAATTTTGAGCTCTTAAAACTTAGGTTAAGTTGCAGCAAAAGGATGAAGAGAAGGCTTGAAGACAGCTCACTCAAAACAAGAGAAACTCAAGGAGCAAAAACTAGTGAGCTGTTTTTAAGAAAGCACTCAGTTGCTTAGGAAAGCTTAGGAATTTGACTCTGCTGTGCAAAAGTAAAATGTTTATTTACTTGTAACGAAAATATTTGAAGTGATAAAAATGAATTTGAGAGCCTTTAATATGCCATCCACACAGTCTCGATGAAACGGCTTTTCTAGTTATCAAGAAAGACTATTTTTAGTGGATTGTTTTGAATGAATAAACCTGCAGCATCTCAACACACATGTTAGCTTCATTATTTGTAAACATCAAAAACTAAGAGTAGCAAAAGTCGGCTAACAATCTCCCCCTTTTTGATGTTGACAAATAATGACTTCAAGAGGGTATAAAAACAATTAGGAGCATACGAGAAGATTTCAAATGTAACAGCAAGCTCCCCCTCACTTCATGCAACTCTCAGTCATACAAAGAGAATTTCTTTCCCCCTTTTTTTTTTATTGATTGACCTAGGTCAGGGATTAAGTATAAGACTTGCTTGAAGTCAACATATTTCTCCCCCTTTGTCAATATCAAAAATGGAAGGTCATTGAGAGAAAATCAAGGAAATGCACATAAAGGATAGAAAATACCAATTGAAAGAATAACACAGATCCCAAATAAAGAAGAGCGGGTAGGAGAAGTTTAAGGAATGTAGGGGTTGTGTTAGGATCATGTTAATAAATGATTAAGTATAGAGAACACTGTTGTTCGTCCAAATCTTGATTTTCACAGCCTCATTCCTCATTCCTTCACAGCTTGATACTTGAATGTCCTTTTGCCTGGTAGGAGCAGTCTACTGGCTGTAGCAGCAGTCTGCTGTTGCTCTTACAATACACATCTGGATCACTTTGCTTGAGCATTCTGCCTTGAGGACAAGTGTTTTCCATACTTAACCAATAACAGATCAAGGCACACAATTCCCAATTTATGATAGACAGTGAAAGGGATTATTTTAATTAATTTCAAGCATCCCCAATTCACGTCTTAAAAAGCTAAAACGTGCATAATCTAGCGGTTTAGTGAAGATATCCGCTAGTTGGTGTTTAGTGTCCACAAAATCAACACAAATGTCTCCTTTTTGCACATGATCACGAATAAAGTGATGACGTATCTCAATATGTTTGGTCCTTGAGTGCAAAACAGGATTTTTGGAAATATTAATAGCACTAGTGTTGTCACAAAACACAGGCACATTAGTAAAATTCAAATTGTAGTCTTTTAATGTTTGAATCATCCATAAAATTTGAGCAACACAGCTGCCTAAGGCAACATATTCTGCTTCAGCAGTAGATATGGCAACTGAGTTTTGCTTCTTAGATGACCAAGACACTAAAGAATGACCAAGGAGTTGACAAGTACCACTGGTACTTTTCCTATCAATTGTACACCCAGCATAATCAGCATCACTATACCCAACTAAGGAAAAATTGGATCCTTTTGGATACCATAGTCCTAGGTTGGTTGTGCTTTTAACATATCTAATGATACGTTTAACGGCGACAAGATGAGATTCTTTTGGGCAAGATTGATACCGAGCACAAACACATACAGCATGCATAATATCAGGTCTAGAAGCAGTTAAATACAATAAACTACCAATCATACCTCTATAGACTTTTTCATCAGTGGGTTTACCATTCTCATCCTTATCAATTTTGGCAGTTGAGCTCATTGGAGTATCAAAATGTCTACCTTCTTGTAGATTAAACTTCTTAACCAACTCCTTAGCATATTTGGACTGACTTACAAAGGTTCCTTCTTTCATTTGTTTGATTTGAAGTCCAAGGAAGAATGTGAGTTCACCCATCATGCTCATCTCAAACTCACTGGTCATGGCTTTAGAAAATTCTTCACACATGGAATGATTAGTAGAACCAAATATGATATCATCAACATAAATTTGAACTAACATAATGTCATTAGCCAATGTGCGTACAAACAATGTTGAGTCAATAGCCCCTTTTGAAAAACCATTTTCAAGAAGATATTTTGAAAGTCTTTCATACCAAGCACGTGGGGCCTGTTTTAAACCATAGAGAGCCTTCTTAAGCTTGTATACATGGTTTGGAAAGGTTACATTTTCAAATCCAGGAGGCTGCTCCACGTAAGCTTCCTCTTTAAGGATTCCATTTAAAAATGCACTTTTAACGTCCATTTGAAAAAGTTTAAAATCCATGTAACAAGCATAAGCAAGAAGCATCCTA